GAAGGTGCAAGGCGCATGCCAAATGATGGTATGATGGCGGTCAGTTTATTCAACAGGGCTTGCGCTTCGCTAAGGTCTTCAAAGATGAGGGCGATGTCATCTGGCTGAATTAGTGACGCTTCAAAGGTTACTCTAGTTAGGACATGTACTGCACATGCCAGAAGACCGTCTGACTTGCATAGCTGTCTTTGCTTAGCCCTGTACTAAGTGGAAGCGGCTGAGAGGTGGGCAGTGTGTGACCTGGCAACGAAGTATTGAAACACTAACTAGTAGAGTGAGTCGGTTTGACAGCTGCCGCCACTCTATATGGGAACCTCGGGACTCAACTCACCGATGACTGATGACTTTGTCAGAAATGGTCCAATCGCGCGGTCGGTGGTGCTCGTGCACCAGAGCTATCGCCTTCAATGCACAGCTACGCAGTTCTCGAACTAACCAAAGCTGCTATCGCCTTTATGTCTCGGCTGTATGTCCCACACTCTCCCACTTTCCGGTGATCGAAGCTGTAGCAGCTGGGACCATTTTGCCAAATGTACACAGTATATGGCTGATAAATTGTATTGATTGAGTTTAACAGTAAAGTTATTTTGTGGGGATTTCGGATAGGAAAGTCGAAAACCGTGTCTGTAGGGGAATTAGTCAGTGCATATAGTGTAGATAATCGCCGTTCTCTCTGAACTGAGACATATCGACGTAACTTTTATTTCAGTACTGGAAGGTGCGGATACACGTTTAGCATGGGTGTTCCTATCATGAGCATGCAAAATTGCCATAAGGAGTAATGACATGAATTTCAGGCCACAGACCGATAACAGTCGCTGTAAGTAGACTTGCAACAGATCGTTCAAGTCGTGATCGGAACCGATGTGTAAAGCCGATGGAAACCACTTCACGTGTCGGTTTGGTCTTTCCCTGAAATGTAGTTGGGTAACATTATATGAACATTGCTAATCATTCACTTTACTTCTGATTCACAGAGAGTCCCATCTCTCCTCCAAAAGGTTTCGAAGTTGAGTCTCATATCAGTCATTTTTTCATGTGCATTGTAATTGGTTTCTAGCAACGGATTCACAGTGCTTCGATGATTTTGAACAAATGAGCTCTACTTGAAGGACGTATTTTAAAAATTATCAGACTCCCGTCCTAATGACTGCAAGTAGAGAAAGTGAATCATCACCACTTATTCAGGACCAGCCCATAACTATCAAATTCCTTTGAGCCAATCGACTTGTTACCAATATGCCGAGAATTCAATCCTATCATTAGGTCGTCATTTCATTTGGCAACGAGTTACTGCTTATATATATATATATATATATATATGTATATATATATATATACGGACAGGACTTATCTAACTTTAATTAATTGCTTCCTCTCTACCTAGCCCGTTTTATTCTTCTTACTATTACAGTACGGCTAATTATTATGCGTAAATGCATTTGATTGAATCAGCCAGCCTTCACAGTATTCGCGAAATTTTCGGTTAAACTGATTATTAACCGTTATTGGAAAAGTTTACATCAGTGTATTACTACTTGCTTCAAACCTTTTGAACTTATTCTATTCGGCACTTTAATTTGGAACAGACAACAACACCTCTATGCATTCCTCTGTGAACGGGCTGGCTTTGCACACACTAAGTCAATCACTTACATCCCGGGTGCAGCTGATCCGAACAGACGATTAAATGGCAATAACCTGTTCATTTTTTTCACCCGCAAGCTCTGTCTTTTCGGACCACTTAATTTGCTTTCGGTCCACCCACATTCGTACGTTGGGTAGTCTGCCAGAATGGCTGAGCCGGAATGGTCGCATTAAAATCGGTGGCTAAATTTTACAATCAAATCGACCCTGTCTATAAAATCACAGTCCAGCAATGGACAGATTTGGTAGTATTTATGTCACTTAGTGATTCCCTAACCTACCGCGCATTTCACCCGGTTCTTATTCTGAGCGCACCCATCTGAGAATCTCGCATGAGACCAGCTCATTTGGAAACACCGCAGAAATAGCATAGGGATCTGTTCCTCCCTAGAGTGTATTTCTAGATCTGGAAGAGGCGGATGATGACAAAGTCTATAAAAAATATTTTACGAATGTTAAGAAAGCCCTATTTCATCCCCAACAATCATGAGGCAGTCAACTTTTTCAACCTATTCTGTCGCTTTACTGAAAGCGCATTTTTAATTTTCAACCCAGCTGTGTACTTTTTAACATTCTTACCTTATCGTGGACTTTCAAAATATCGCGACCAAGTTAATGTACGTTTTGTGTTTTCTTGGAGGAACTCTATCACATTTCTGTCAAGCTAGTTTATCATAGTGTTCGGGCTACCTATGTTTTCTTTCCAGACATTTGTTTTACCTTCAACTTCGACGCGATTTCTATGTCGGACGGCTTCGAACGAATTGCTCAGCGACGTGTGAACTTGCCGCCTATGCTATCCAAGGTGAGTTATGTCTGCGCGAATCAGTCATTCCGTCATTGGCACTCATTCAGTTTCATTCACTCTTTGGCTTGTTTCTTAAGTTAAGTATTTTCTGTAGGGTGTTCTGGGGTTTCATTCCAACAACTATCAATGGGTTAAGGGGATCCTTGAAATGTTCTTTGTTTTTCGACACTAGAGCTTGAACAGCCACTGTTGATTGCTTCTTACCTCAGGATATGTGCACGTTCACTCCAGTTATACAAGGTCGCTCTCTGGACACAAGTTGTTGATCATACATGTCATCCGCTGCAGTTGCGACGCCCACGCGGTTTCGTTACCATCACCATCGTCATCATCGTCATCAGTACTGATGGTTACATTGATGTAGAATACTGGTACTTCACGGTTGTATAACCATGTCAGTTTGTCCGAATAGAGTCCCATAGTGGAAAGGAGAGAAAAATGGGACAAGGTGGTGGACTTAAGGCCCGCCCACATCAAACATTCGGGGGTTTACACTCCCGACCTTCAGTCAGAGAATATGGACAGATAATGACAGCTTAAACGTCATTGTCGTCGTTTAGTTGCCGTATCATTCGGTGCCTCCATCCAAGCACAGGGAAGTCACGACCCCATCCTGGAATGCGCTCAGACTTTTGGTGACATCCCTCACCCCTTCTGCCACGCCATATTTTGTCCACTCCTGGCTTTCCTCCACTCTGAATTAGGCATGAAAAACAAGGCTCTCCTCGACAGACGGTAACTCGATATGCGTAACGCATGGACCAACCAACTTAGCTTGAATTACTGGGTGCGTTCTTTGAGTGAAGTACCGTCGACTTCGCCAAAGACCTATTCCCTGATCCCCCATCGACTGACTTGGGCCGACTCCACCTATAGTTCTGTGAGATCAATAGTCCATGATCCGAAAATGTCCCATATCCTTCGCCCGAAGTGGCTGATTCTAGAAGCCGCATAGTTCAGCCATACTATGGTGTACACGAACCTTATGGGGCCCTGTGTCACACCTTTTTAATGCCATAAATGGCACACATCGGTACACACAATTATAGCCCTTGATATTCATACATTGGTTTCGCCTGCCACACTGCCATCAAAGCTCAGGGACATTTGACATACTGCCCATCAAATTTTACTTATTAAAAAACTTCCAAAATGAACGCATATACTTGTATAACGTAAGAAACGCAGTAGCACTCGACGTTCACGATAGTTTAATAAAAATGCACGCCGATTCTGAAGTGAACAGATATGGAAATCAGCACACAGAGCACACATTTACAGTGGCTGGGTAGCAGTAAGGAGGAATCCGGAAGGAAGGCAATAGCCTGTGTGAATCGAAAACTGCTGGCACAAGTCAAGCAACGCAGAAGAATAGTTCAAGATTTCCAAAGAGCAGGTTACGGTTTCACACGTGGGGCTCAACGGTAGCTCAACGGATTCAACTCTAATAGAAAAGAATCGTTCAGCTGTAACACACTTTCGTGCCTAGCTGCTATGCTACCCGAAGGAAGCACGAGGCTGCTGTACTGCCAGGATGCTCAAGCCTAGTCAGGAGAAGTCGATTTGCAGAGGTCGGATTCGAACCACGGGTCTTACGTCAGTGGTTCAAATCTAAACCCACGTGCAGTCTTTTGATCAGTCTACGTACATTTGAGCTTTTCATTTCAAGCTCCTATTAAGCCTCCTTTCACTTTTCGACAACAACTATGTATATTATTAATTGTATGCGATTTTGGAGTATTTTAACAGTGTTTTATTTGCCTGTGTATTCGCGTCATTGACTTTGAAATTTTCACCTCACTCGCACTCCGCCTCCTCAGCACTGTACATAGCTCATGAAACTTTTCTTAGTCCTGTAAGCAAATCAAGCCGATCACCAGATCGTGAAGACAAGTTTACGTTTTCATCAGGAGCGTTTGGGTGCTGAAGGCGATAGTTTGTTTGCATCAGTCACACGCAACCGGAATTCAATTTAGAACCAATAAAAATCTAGATACTCAAATATTCTGTGACACTCAGATAAATGCGTAACCATTTCAATGACTCCTACTTATACTGTTGGACAACGGGTGAACAGAAGGTTCGGACGACAAATTTCCGGTACCTGAATTTAAAAAATTTAAGAAATTAATCTCTTCTTATTGGTCGACAAATTCATCAGTGCCTGCGGCACCTAACCCATGATTCGGCGTGATTTTGGCGAGAAACATTGGGTATATCTCGATAACGTATCTTTAGTACGCTAGCAATAGCAGAATTCCCAATCTGAAGTTTGTTTAACAACCAGGGTTCAAATAACGATTAAGTTTATATCTGGCCTTGTGTTTGGCTGATCGGTCATTGTATACTGAGGACAATATCAGTAAGAACGAGACAGTGGCTTTGAATTACGAGCTGCCAAACTTATAATTATCGGCCACACCCTGATACCGGTGTCCTCTGACGTGACACGTGAATACACGTTTTATTAACAGGTCTAGCTGCTTTTCGATGAGAACCATCCGTTTTAACGCACCACATAACTTCTGGTAAAATGTGGCACAGAGAGTAGAGATGGCTGATGCGTGCAACTTTATTACCAAATCGATGGCTGTCCTCGAGTTGATTGATCATTAATTAATGGCCCTTCTTAATTCTCATTCTCGATTGACAGTCAAAAATGGTGATAAATGATGCTTTGTAGTTTCTGAAGGAAATCTCCAATGGATAAGAATCTCTTTTCAGGACAGGTTCAAGTCCCCTTGAACGCGTTAGAGCTGACTGGAGACGCGTCGAAAATGCCTTTGAGTTTGTCTGGGAAATATGTGACGTCAACTAAAATGAAGCTGCTGGATTCCAAAAACCTTACTAGTATCGTGTATGCGGTTCTTATTGAGCTATGTAGGGGGGTCATTTACGTGACCATCTGATTGGAATTCATAGGTTTGGGCATCAGTACCGTCCATCTGTATTGTGCTGAGGGTAGATTTGTTCTATTTGTGAGTCCTTATGGTTCGGGTAATGGTTCATAGGGACTCACTTCTATTTGGGGGGAGTATCTAGAACTGCCGCCTCGCCGTGGTGGTCATCATATTTCGTTGCTACAATGATTCCGTGGAATTCTGGAATTCTGTTCCTTGATGTTCACGGTAGGAATACCGACTGGGAGAAGTTCGACGAAAACCCACTAGTTCCCTATCGCTAGGCTTCGTATTACGGTTGGTCTAGCGATAAAGTAGATCAACTATGAGAAAACTAGGGCATTCGTCCGGACGACTAATATGTGCATGGAAACTGCGATGCTACCTCTCCCCCTGGAAGGAGCGGTTAGTAAAACTCGTTCCTAAATCCGCACACTCCGATCACCCAACGGTTGACCACGATGACCACCGAATGCGGTTGAGATACAGCAGAAACGTACTAAGATCCCGATACGGTCCCAAAACGTATCTGCTATGCAGGACAGCATCGAAATTAAGGTACCTACTTCTTATTTCCTGCACCCTCAGACTGGGCCATCTCCTGTAGCCAAATAAATAAGAATAGTGGATCAACAGCTCCAACCGGTGTCTCACAAAAAAACCCATCAGTACTAATACTTCAGCTGTAATACCCTTCCATTGTTCGCTTATCGTTTATGATGGCCGAGGTACTGCTAGCAACCACTGCCTAACTGCTCGTAGTTTTGAGTCAGATAATGTTGCTTAACAAGACCCTATATATTCTTGCTTTTGAGTCAAATGTATACGATGTGGCACTTGATCTAACAGCACCTCTTCAGCCTAGGCAATCTGGAATTATCATTCGCCCTTACAACTCTTCATTCGCCGATCCTTCTCTCACGCCCCTCAAAGAAGCCTTTGTGCTTCATTTAGCTATCATTAACCCAACCGTTTCTGAGTCTGAATAAAACAAACGAAAATAAGTCTCTATTAAATTCAAGGGATCTGTTCCAAATTGCAGTTTTCAACATCCGTCCTCTGTGTCAAATTAGACAACAGGTATCTCTTGCTCCAACCTTGTCTTCTCTTTCAACCGGTGTGTCGCGTTTAAGGCCCCACTTCGATCAAACTCCCCAAACCCCTTTGCACGATTTCAGGCATTCTACCTTTCTTGTGTTTGGCCGTCTTGCTGGAATTGCTCATCGTACCGCCGTGTGGAATTTCAGTTTAGCCTGAGGATTGAGTGCACTTTACTGGATCGGATACCAGTAAACGGTCGCCTTTGCCCTTGTCAGGACACACCCAGACAAGGAAAAATCACATGTTCAGAGACCGACGCATCCCCAAGGTCACCGTCGGTTCCACACGTTCCGGATAGCAGGTGTGCTGATGGAGCTTACCAAACACAGCTTAGTAGCACGCGACCAGTGGAGTGGGTGTGAAGTTGTCCACGGCCGGAATGTCACCATTGGTTTCACAGAACGAACAAATGAACCACCATATTTGGCCCTTTAGTCATCCTATATATTTACCCAGACCTTCTGTATGTTTGCACTGACAGCATAGCTATGTTCAGGGTTCTCTGTCTTCTCCTTATCGCGCAGTCTGGCAGGTTCAGTTCAGACGTAACCAACAGACGGCCACCCACGATACAACAGCTGTGTTCGATCTACTCGCCCAAAAGCTAATGTATCTTGATACTATAAACTGTGTTTTATCTGTATAAACTTTGATAGACAGCATATGTGAAGTTGGGGTTGATAGATATGTTACGCTTGATTCGGTTGGCAAGGGGTACAAATATCTTGGACCTGAAGGATGGCGAGTGTCCAGGTTAGGTAAGTCCGGCAGAAGCCCATTTTGGCATCTGATTACGTTTTCGCTCTTACCCTACCTATAGTAGAGAGCGACGTCTTCACACGTGTGCTTAACATTATTGGCTTGAGCCAGTATAGTCACGCAACCATGCTGCCTGGAAACCACCAACTGAACGTCATTCGTGGAATCAATTGAACTAACTGGCATACAGCTACCGATGGAGGCACCCATATATTATTGTCTTTCATTTTGTAGTACACCACCTGACTTTGACCACAGCGCTGTACGAGCACGTATGTCCACCCGCTTCCCCCTGGAACACACCAGTCAGTTCACCTCCGGAGCAACTCTGTATCCTAGCCCTCCAGTTGAGTTTGCTGAGAAACTTTCAGAACTAAGCGGGTACTAATGATTATATGGATGGCCACTGAATAAAGGTGAAAGAATAGGTGCTCACAGCTTATGAAACCGTCTGCCCGAGGTAGTCTGCACATCCACTTGAACACTAGATCCTATCCTTATCAGCAACTCTCATTAATACCAGGAAAACTATACCAGCGACAAACGAATATGGTAGTGGACTCATATCCTTCAAATGCAAAATAGTGAAGAGTTCGATGATTTACAGAGGTGGATAGAGAAGGCCCGAAAAATAGAAAGAGCTTTTGTAACGGAAAGCAGTTGAACTCTCTTCCAGTTAATCTAATCAACTGGTTGGATAAAGACGAGTGTTAGCAGAACGATCTGAGAAAACGACAGGACCTCAATTCATTCATGGAAGCGTCGTTCTAAACGATGGACTGAACACTTTGATGAACAGCTCAATTGTTTCTATCAACTCAGTCTCTGGAAAGACCTTATGAATCCGAATGTAATGTCGACGCTACTCTCCTATTGAAAACGAAATTCAAGCGTGAAATTTCACTGCTTCAGTACAACGAAGTGCCTGGTCGCGATAGTTTGCATTCCGTATGCTTCAAAGGTGATGAATCCCTACTTGCTAACACGACGAATCTATTCCAAAATATCTGGGACAAAGAAAGTATACCGACAGAACGGAGCGCATCGACGTCAGTTCCTATATTAGGAATGGGCGCCAGAACACCTTATGGCCACCACCGGGACATCAGTTTACTTGACTAAAATTTCAAGAAACATCTAGAGCTATCCTGCGCAGGTTAGACCATTGTCGAAATAGTCAGATTCGTGAGAATCAAACTGGATTTTGCCTTTGGAAAGGCTGTATCCGTCGTACCTTCATTTCGGCACCACTTCTTTCGGCAAACAGCAATGTTTTTTCTTGATCCGAATGATAATTTTGACTCCGTCAGTCAGCAGGAGCTGTGGCAGTATCTGGCGATGAGAGACATCACCTCTAAATTAATGTCTCTATTAAAGCCTTTGTGTCTTCTCGCGTGGACGCCTATGTATCTACTGCAAACTCTCTAGCGTTTACCACATCAGGTGTTGTCTGACACATGGACCCTTCTTTGCCTTTCCACTTCGGCTTCTCTATTGATGTACTGCTTGGGTATTTTTTGCGCGCCTCCAACACCTCGGCGATCCAAACACTCCGGAAACTTTTGCTCACAGGCATTAAGTACTAAGATTATATCACCCTTCTTGGGTCCTTAGAAATGCCAATCACTTTGAACAACTTAAATAATTCTGCTGCACAGTCTGGCGTGCGCTTTATATCTGACGAAATCAAAACCCATAGCTTAGGTTCATAGTTGAACTTTAGTCACTGTGGACAAGGCCCATTAGACTGGCAAATGATGAAATCACATCTCAACTCAGAGAGATCCAGTTCCGTGGTTGCCAGCCTCCAACATTTATGGTATTGATTTGATATCAGTTTGTCTGTCAAGGATAGAGTACCGTACCGCGGTTTAACGTATCCTACATTATGGATCAAGTGTGGACGCCGCTTGACAATCGATGCCTCCAAAACATTGTACGGGTACCGTGGGGACAGCAGGCCAGCAGTTGTAAGGTTTTCAAGAAAGGCAACCCCCCACCCAATACTCAGTCAGTCACACTCCGTATGTTACTACGGCCGGGCCATGTGGTTCATATACCATTTGTCTTGCAGAATCCTCTTTGCCCAACAATGTATTGACTAGAGATCATCCAGGAGGGGTCAGTTCATGATCCGGTAACTAACCAAATCAGTCGCTTTGGTAATTATCTTCTGCCCAGGTGGGTGCGTAGGGATGAAACAATGACTGGTTGGTAACACCGATAGATGTGGCTATGTTTCAAAGTCAACGGTTATCCTGTATCGTAGCTCTGTTAATTTACATCAAGTTGAACGATCAGAACAATTCAGCGTCATCAAACTGGTTAGACCACTGAACTGACCGTCATTGGCCTATTCTCCTTATCCTCGTTAAATGAAACTGTAACAGCTGGGACCGCTGCGATTCAATACAAGGTTTATAGCTCAAAGACGACTGACTGGGACAAAGCAACCCGACCGTCCACCAATAACCTTTATTTGTTAGGAACAGGATTTACCCCTTTGAAGCACTCAATTCTGTCAAAAGTATCATGGAAAATGGGTGCCTCTGAGCACCTGGTGCTTTTGAAGATGTACCCGTTTTTTGTTCAAACAATGAGTTAATAATTAAGGTACTTTCATACTAAATTTCCGGATGTACTTTGTTGATTTGCGCATTTCAGTTTCCGCAATGATGGATAGTTTTGAGTTCAGAATCCACAAAACTGCGCTTAAATGGAAACTCAGTTCCGTCAATCAGAAACTTTATGCACCCGAATGACGATCTCTAGTACAGAAATTTTAAAGTGTAGCGAAGTTTGATATATTGGAAACCCTTAAATAGGAACAGGACTGTACAAATGAAGTGGTACTTGCAAATCTCACATAAGTGCCGTAGGTTCCTAAAAGAAAACCATCGCCGAGGCATCAGGTGCAGTATAGGGTGAGCGACATAAAGTTGTATTTCGAAAGTGTTTTGGAGGCTGAACCTGTTGGGTCTGCAACAGCATCCTTGGGTATAACTTATGACGTGGGTCCATAAGCATTCTGGCAAGGATATCCATCAGCATCCTACCACATCTGTGAATGTGACTTTCTCGAAAAGTATTGTAATAGTAAATCCAATCTTAGTGACAAACCCACGACGGAGTTATATAGCACTAACATATTTACACTAGATCAAAGATGGAACATGTTACAGAAAAATGACATGCAAATAAAACAGCAATGTGGGAAAGGAGCCACGCCCTATGGTCCAGATTCAAGATATCTTACTGTTTCTACACACCCACAATCTGCGCAGAGCACCTTACCGTGATGATCAATTTGAACGCAGCGATTTTGCTTTTGTGAATCCGCGGCAGGTTTGGAAAAGGACGATATTCTACAGTCTTTAGTGTATAACTTGTTTTAACCAGCTGTTTGTTCAGACGGTCAGCTGACATTTCGCAAGTAGTCAGGATGGTTTATCCGAATGATTAAGCGACCCTTGCGGTGGATGTGAGGTTCCTAGGATCTGAGCAAACCTTTATTCTGACTTTCATGTTGCTCCGATGCGAGTGCTGCAATTATCCACTGGGATTATGCCTCTGAATGCGTAAATGAAACACACTTATTCGTCAGATCGGTATACGAATTGCCGAGATGTGCGGTCTCGCTTTGGCTGTATGAAATTTCCAGTTGAAGAGATGGTACTGGATCTTTATGCGGTCTTTGAACTCATGAAACGCTTTCGCACACATCGTAGCCAGGTGGACACTGAACAGAACGGGAAGAAGGACGCAACATTGCTTTGCTCACGTACTTATTTCGAAATCGGAAGAAATCAACACTTGATAACCTTGACAATATTTCCGGAACAGCCTAGCTTTGGACGACGGTCTATAACGCCTTACTACTTCTTTTTTGAAATACACAAGCGCAACTCTGCATCCACCTCGTTATTCAGGGCGTTTTCTTCAAAGATAGCAGCGATTAGTTGGTTGGGTAAGGTACTTGACAAGATTGTATCTGAAGTGCGAAAAAAACCGAGCCCTTTATGGTTGCTCTTTATTTCCCTTCACTATGAAAAGGAGTTCATTGCCTTTGGATCACCAGGGAACGTTTGCTGTCCTTGAAATCAGACAGACGATCGATTAGTATAACCAGTTTGGACAGTTCGGTAATTAATCCCTCTTCTCCGGCAGCCTCCCCGTTTTGTAGTTTATGAACCGTCCTTTGAAATTCAGGCTTAGTAGGTTGTCCTTGAATCCATGCTCACGGATACTGGTTGCAGGATAACTGGAATTTGTGTTGCGTGAGTTTGTATTATAATAATACGGGTACATTTCTGTTAGTCCGAATTTTTGGCGAATTACGTGGACACTGGTATTAACTGCTTTCTAAATCAGTTGCCATAGATGTATCCATTGTACCAGTTCATTCTATATTTGTCTAACGATTACTCTTTTGTCGCTGGAATTGGCAACATTGGGGACACGTTCAAGTATTTTGGCTGACTGCTTACGCAAGCTTGAGAACTTAATTGCAATGCTTTCACTTCCTCGCTATCTTTCTAACTCCCATTTTCCTAGCGGATCATGAACTGACAAGTATTCCAGAGGGATTTGATGTTGTTAACATTCCTGGAGGCATGTGTATCCTGCCGGACATACCTACAGAGGTGGTAGACCTAATTCGGTACCGATTAAAGCGGTTACTGTAAGTGATTTTGAAATCCTTTATATTTATTCCGAGTATTTTTGCGAGGTTATAATCATCCAACCTTGATTCACAATGTGGAGGTGTCGCCCAAATTGGTTTACGTTGGCGCAGCCCTACAACAGCCTTTTCGGGATTAGCTACCTTTTGTAATCTGTGCGAAAACACCTGGCTTTCAAACAGGTAATCGTTTAGACAAAGCTTGGAAAACCTGTTCTCACTGACTGATGTGCACTATGCCGGCAAACAATGAGTAACGCAACTTTTTAACTCGAAACGTTCCTTCTATATCCTACCTTACTCTGAGAATGGCGGGCCTTAAGCGACCTGGCCATATTCGATTGGTTCTGTACTCAACTCTAGTATTTGAGTGAGTTCCTGATAAAGTTCTAACTTCACACTCGTACACATGTGTAATCTCTCTCAACAAAGTCACCGTGGAGTCCCCTGTTTGTTGTAATATTTGTATTCTTCGCCAGTGTATGCATCGTCTTGATGTTCCACTGCGAAGAGATTCGATAAACCTTCATTGGTTGTCTGAGAATCCGTTATTAGGTTACTGCATACATATATGCTCAAAATCGAACAACGCACAAATTGGTACTTAATTCGGGCGCCAATTCCAGCGCAACTGTCTGTGGATTTAGTGCAAACTGTCCCAAGTCACTTTGCGATAGTTTCCTCAGTTTGTCTTTTTCGATAAGCGTTTGTAATTACCTAGGGACAGAAGATGCCGTTATATGCGTCGTTCGGCTCGTCTTCCGACTATGCAACAACAAAAAATTTTTCTCCAACTTATAGTGGACTTTCTAAAGAACAAGCTAAGGATGAATTCATTCGGAGAGCTTGTGAAATCGAAACATACGGAATGGAACCCTTTCAAGTTATGGTACGTTTCCTTGCTTCGATTTTCTCCTGCACCGCTTGTGTTTCTTCTTGAATGTGCGAAAATGGTGGTGTTTTAGGGCGCCAAAAAACACCCAGAACATCGAAATCTTTCACTTTTTGTAGGCATTTACTTTCAAAAGTTTCGAGCCCTTCAAAAAACCTTTAGGAACTCATCAGGTAAACCGCACTACCACGCGTCCGCCATTTATTTTGACTGAATGTCTAGCTTATGGCGTTGGGCCAAAAGCACACTCTTTAGGACATGTTAACCTCATGTCGAGCCATCCTTAGACATCTATCAGGACGGTTTGAGATTCCTGTTGAACTATCTAAGAAGTTACCATAACATCTGAACAACAAGAAAAACAAGACACTCTAAACCATATTTGTGGTAAACACTGGTCTTCGGTGGATAAGTCGCTGACAGTTAGCAGTCCGTGGAATTAGAAATAAATCAGAGGTTTATGAGAAAGGTGTGATCGGACATGCAACCTTCACTGAAGCCCCGTACACGGATCAAATGAGTTGGCCGAGTTTCTCTAATCCTGACCCCGCTGTTTTACACACATTCCAAGCACCTGACTTAGAGATTATGCACTACTCCGTCAGGATCGATTAGAAACTGTTGATTTGCCAGTAGTCACATGAGTCGCATCAAACAGACTCGCAGATAACACGCACCGATAAACAGCTCATTAACAACGTCTTATGATGAAATGTTCTCAAACAAACTGCTAAGCGTATTCCTAGTTTAACAGTTGATTTGATCAACAGGCATATCTGTGTTAACATTCGACCTCTAAGTTTCAGCATTTCTCCGCAGAGCTCAAGTGATAAAAAAGTCGCATAATTTAACTCACTTTCCTCACCGATGATTTTTCAACACGCGATCCACAGTAGTCACGCCGAATTACTCTCATTCGGGCACGGCTTCTTGAAGAAAAAGGGCTGAACATCCAGCCATGCCTTGAACGCACCTGAACTTTCTTCCACTCTCAAAGTTCCCGAAATGAGACGGTTCCCTGATAATCATGTTTGACTCACGAGTTTTGCCGATGCCCGAAGTAGCAATACTAAATCAATCGTTTGTCTGCTGTTTCAACACGAAAATTCTACTCATCCTAATGGAATATAAACTAGCGGGCCCCGATTAGGTGTAGCAAACATGTGGGCCTAATCGAAAGTTAGAGAAAGAACTGTGTCAAGCATGCTGACTGAGGACCCCAAGGCCCAGTAATTAATTGATCGATGAGTCGGACGTGCAGATGTATGGACGAACGGTTATGCCTACTAACTTTCATTTATTTGCACGAACTATTTTGGAGAATATTTAAAAAATATAGCCAAACGTGCTAACCGAAATGATGTAGGTAGATAGCAATCATACCTTGGATGAACTGTGAATATCATCATCATCGTCATCAGCAGCATGCCATCAGTGTTCAACACCGATGCTTTCCTGCCGTAAAACCATATTTGAAAGCCTCTTTGCAAAGAAAAGAGTAACGATGGATGGGAAAGGGACTTAATGCT